AGGTAAACATGGATATTCTTCTCTATATATATATATGGCTGCTGGATGGGGCACCTTGAGGCGGTGTAATGGTTAGCAAGCTTGTCTCGCTTGAACAATTACGACTGTGTAGTGAGTTCAATTCTCACTGGGTGCCTCCTACTTCCGGCCTTGTGCCACATCTAAGCTATGCTTGGAAAATCACTATATGGCTGCTGGATGTAGAAACAAAAATTCTTTTGAGGACTCCACACAACTGGAGTGCAAACTTTTATTAGCAACACAACACAAGATAATCATTACAGAAAAACTGAGAAAAAGGGATGATGGGAGAGAGTGGCAACAGAGATGCTACAGGCAAAAATGATGTCTTAAATGAGATGCAGGAAATACTAAGATAGCGAGGACTTTGTAAGGCAGACAACCACCTGGATGCTCAGATACAGACAGTGCCTTCTATATTAGCAAAATGTTGACATGTGCTTCGGGCACACTGCTAATCTATAAAGAAAAATGGCAGATGGTGTTATTTAGAAGCATGAATCTACATGTCCAGGCACATAATGAGAGGGTGTAGAAACAGAGGAGAAGAACTATATATATATATATATATATATATAATAGTTGTGGTAGCAATAGTATTGAAGATATTTAAATTGCATTTATTACAATAAGATGAACATGGACCTTCATGCCCACAATAAGATTGAGTATCAAAAGGACAGTTTTTCACATGACACTACCTTTTTTCAACTATATTCTTGGCAGTGTTTGTTTTAAAAAGGGATGATTAGAATTGGAATAAAACCTAAACACATGATGAAAACAAATTTATACATTTTTTCTTGAGAATTTACAACAAAAATATTAAAGTTTACACTTTTATTTATTAGATTGTTTATTTACAAGAATACTTTTATATTTACTAGATTCTAAAAACTAAGTGAAACTAATGCAATGCAATATTTATCATTTAGCAATTTATAAAGAAATGAATATGAAAATAATTTTTTATTCATAAATTTATAAACATTTACTAAATTATTAAAATATGTGAACCAACTTTAAGGAAATCCTTATTATTTACCATTTTATAAAGTTTGAATCAACTGGCAATTAGCTGATGTTTTGCCAACCATTCCAGTAAATAATATGATAACTAAATAGTGTAAATAAACAATCTAATAAAGTGTTTAAAATGTATAAATTCACTTTCATATATTTAGGTTTTATACAATACTAATATTTGCTTTTTAAAACAATAAACATTGTTGAAATGTGAAGGTAGTTATAAAGCAGTATGATGGGAAAAAACATCCTTTTGACACTTTGTCTTATTGTGGGCATATTTGTCTGTTTGCCAAGATAAATAAGATAGCAGTGGGAGCAAAATTAGAAGTTATATCACACTGTTGTGTTTTAAATGTGTAACCATGAAAGCAGTGCACAGAATTTATATTATTATATTTCTTCTGTGTGATGTGGACAATCATGCTTTGTACAACTTCCTGTCCATTGTAGCTTTTAGCAGTGTTTGTCTATTTGCTATCTCTCCTAATCCCTGTTCTTTCAACCATTTACACAAACTCATTAGGTAGGTTATTCACTACTTTCTTGTTTCCCTTGCCTTCAATATGTCCTGTGAGTGTCAAATTTTCCAAGCCCTCTTTCCTCATTATGTGCACTAGAAATTTCACTTATCTCTTTCTGATTCTAAGTGTCCTTTTTGTTTCAATTTTCTTTAAAACTTCCTCATTGCTAACATGCTCCATCCACAGTATTCTTAGCATCCTTCTGTAGAACCACAGTTTTGTTGCTTTTTATTTCCTCTTCATCTTTGAGGAAATTGTCCAGCATTCACTGCTATATAGGTGGACTGATATTACATAACAAAATTTTCCTGTTTCTTAATACTTTGCTTAACTTTTGGGAGGCATCTTTTGCTATTTCACTGTGCATTTGGATTATATAATTTAAATTATAATTCATATAAACTCATAATGGAAACAATTTTCTGAATTATTCTACAGTAGAATTATGAGTAATCATTTGCTTCAGTGTACAACTTCAGTCTTCAGATTGGAAACTGAACTATGAACACATGTTGAAATAAACTCTAGCCACATAATTATCACTTGTTTTTCACTATCTGCTATGCCACCAATTTTCCAACACCCCTGGAACAGACTCCTGAGAGGATGCTTTCCCAAACACTACAATCTTAACCTCTCCAAATCTAACATTAACCATTATCTTTCACACACATAAACTGCACATCTTACCTCCCTACTCTTACTGTTTATACAACTTCCTCCAGTAACCTTCTACCTTGAGGGGCACTTAGGCCTTGTATTGAGTGAACATTAGTTAAAAAAAAACAAAAAAAAAAAAAACAACCTTAGTTCCAGAATAGTGCCAGATTATTCATTTTGTGAGACCAACAGAAGTCACATGATAACAATTATAATAATATGCCTCTGAACCCTTAATTATGCATCTCTTGTATCTCTATAATTGTCATTGACTGTTAGAAACTTATATTAATTTATTATTTAATATAAATTATATACAAATTAAATGATTGCATAAATCTGGTAATTGTACTAAATTCATGATATGTCCCGGAAAGGGATATATTTGAATGAAGTAGCTAAGTGGTTTTGGCTAGAATAACCAAGTAGAATACGGTAGCATTAATCAACTGGTATGCGTCGTAATCACAGGTAAGAAGTGTAGATCAATGGCGTATTCCAATGGGCGTCATTATAGACTAAGCTCCCAGACTAAGGCTCTTGACTCTCCTATATCTCCGTCAGTATTTATGATGGACACCAGCCAATCACACTCCAGTGAGGGGGGAACACAGGTGTACATATATTCCATTATATCAATTCATATGTTTGCATGTAAATTTTTCCAGATTAAAAGAGTTGAGGGCCCATTAGTAGCCTGTGTGTGTGTGGCTATATATAGATATATATTTTCTTTGACTTCTTTCAACAACATAGCTGCTTCTCTAGCACACCAAATCAGTAATATTAATAAATGTGCATGTGTGCATAGTATTTCATCAATTTACAGTTGAATTGGCAACATGTAAGTTCTATGCTAAAATTTTCTTTTCTGGCACTTTTCACTTGAGAACTTTCTTCCAGCTCTACGCTTTCCATCCAACTCTGATCTTCAAAAATTTAAATGCAATATCAATCATCTCTACTGTCTTCTTGATTACTCTTCTTTTCTTGTTCTTGCTCCTTAATAATGTTTCTTTTTTTTTTTTTGTTATTCTTTCACACCTGTAACCCCTTGTTTTATGGCTTTACTACCTTGATTGAAGTGAAATGATATTATATATATATATATATATCATTTCACCCCAAGCAATGCAAAAAAGCCACTGAAATACAGGGGTTTATTAAGTGTGAAAGAATGTCATAAAAAGAAAACATTATTAAGGAGCAAGAACAATAAAAGAACAGAAATTAAAAAGACAGAAGATACATTAATTCTTATTACTATAAGTATTATATTTCTGGAATCCTTGATTTTTTTTTAATTTTCTTTTCTAGCCTAGATCAAAATGTCCTACTAAAGAAAAATGTGCCTGCCATCAAGAATTGAACCTGTATTCCCTTTTTTCCACCATTGAAACCACTCCTGTAACAGAAACATGGCATTATCAATGAGGCTATGGGAGACCATCATAATAAAGAAAGGAATTCTTACCTATTTAAGGAATGCACACTGCTTGTTGGGACATTTTGTAATCTACACTTGATAGATTCATTTTCATAAATGAAATGTTTGATTAGTTGATTCATTTTCTACAGCTTATCAACCCACTGTGAGTTATTTAAAGCCAGAAAATACTTTTAGATTGTAATTTTTTTTTAAATAATAATGGTTTAGTGATACAAGTCTTACTAATTAATCCATAGCTGGGGGGAGAAGAAGTGGGGTTCCCAAGGGTATTTGCATGTAAGTGAATATAACAAACAGAAATGAACTTGCAAATTGGGTCTCCAATTAACAATTCTGAGCAATTATACATTATACCACCTACACAGCCAAGCTCACATTTAGGTGCTGGCCAGACTTGACATTGCTTAACTTCAGTGATCATAGGGCTACCAGTGTTTTAATGTGGTGTGGCTATAAGCCATAATCGATATGTAAACACAGTAATTTTTAAATGAATATTTTTTTAATTCAACATTAATTCTTACTATTGTAAACAAATTTTGAAATCCTTGTTTTTTTTTTAATTTTCTTCAACTAATATCAAATTGGCCTACACATATTGGTCTATCAATAATTTCACTAATGTTGAAATATTTTTCAGCATAATCTGCTTGTCAATGCACTTAATTTATTGCAGAATGAAAATTCCAAATCATAATTCAACTAATATCTATATGACAATTTGATCCACCCTGATAAATACTAGAGTGTACACACATAGTTAAGAGCTCTGACTTGACTGAAAGATTGTGAGGACAATAAATAAACAATAAATAAAGGAAGAATTAAAAAAAAACTGGTCCCTGTTCAAAATCAATTTGAAAAGATTATATTTTATCAGTTTTCTTCAACTTTATTTATTAACATCATCAAAGTATATTAACTGTTTGTGCAAGATTAAAATGAAAATACTTTCCTATTTCGTTCATAACATTTTTAATGGCAGATATGCATTTATTTATTTATTTTTGAGGTAATTTCATTATTAACGTTGCCAGTTTTAGAGGACAGGCAGCCTTTGGGATAAACTAAACTGGCCAGCCTACAGCACTTGTTATACAAGCTGCATTGTTGCCTGAGGTACTCACATTGAGAGTCACACTGTGAATGTCATGTAAGAAAGAAATGCATTTTGTAGATTTCTTTTACCTGCAAGCCAAAAGTTTTCTTTGGGGAAATAAACAAACAAGCAATACATATGCATGTATATTGAACATCAACAAATGAAGCAAATCTCAGATAATGGGATAAAAATAATATTAAATAATATTGGAACTCACTTCATTTCCGATTCCAGCAGTGGAGAGTTTAAGGCCAGTACTTGCTTCTAAGTCATCATGGTGGACTTCTGAAACATAAAAACAGATATTTATTATATAATTAGCTACTTATATTAGAAGAATTTATTAAATAATTATATATATATATCAGTAAATACTAAAAGCATCTATAGTGACATGGTAAATAATAAGTACATAAGAAAATCTGGGAAACTACTTTGAGATGTTTCACCTATGAACTGGTGTCATCAAAATAAAAGAGTTTTATTTCACAAGGACAAAATCTACACTAGCAAACAAAATGTGATTAGTGTTAAGCAGCTGAACACTTGGTTTTTAACTTTAACTGTATCATTAGGGAAATTTTTTTTCATCATTTCAGCCCAAGGAAGGTGATAAAGCCTCTAAGACATAAGAGGGCTACTGAGTGTGAAAGAATTTAAACAAAAAACATTATTAAGGAAAGACACCAATAAAAAAGCAGGAATTAGAGAGAAGATGACAATTGGCATTGTATTACTACATGAATTTAAGCGTGCTACTGGATTGGCAACATGGTCTCACTATTTTGTATGTTCTATTTTAATAGTTCCTTTTCTCACACTTCTCTTCTATGGAATTCCTTCCTAATTTCTTGCTTCTCTGTTGCCTACAATCTTCAAAAACTTAAATGCAATGTCAATCACAATCTTCTGTCTTTCTGAACACTGTTCTTTTATTGTCTTTTCTTCTCACTAAAGTCTTCTCATTCACTTTCACTCCCAGTATCCCCTTGCATCTTAGTGGCATTATTGCCTTGCATGTAGTGAAATGATTAAAAAAATAACAAACACACACACTCACTGCATTAATTGCTCACTGCAATGAGTCTGACCATAATTTCAATTTAAAAATTGAAAAGTTTGAAGATCGAAGTTGACTGGAAAGCAACAAGCCAGAAGAAAGTTCTACAAGCAAGAAGTTCGATATAAGTAATTGTTAGCATAGTTCTATGGTTATATCTTACAATTTTAACTATAAAATGATAAGAACTAGATGCCAATCTAATATTGCGATTTATTTGTAAAGTCAAGGTACCAAAGAGGAAAGCTCATCAGAACAATTACCTTGAAAATATTAGATTTCACCTAATTTCAACATGGTTTTTATTATTTTTTTTTAAGGTATGTGTATCTTATATCATTTCAATACTAACTTATCAAGAACAGAGGATAAACTAAAATAGCCTGTTCATATATTCATTATTATTGATCATGGCACTTTCAATGCATCTTCAAGATTTTGGTGGTTCACAAGTGAACTGATAGTGCTGTTTAATTTTAAATCTCTTTCATGTGGGGTATATTCTTTTCTTTCAATGTTGGGATGTTCTGCAAATGATAATCGAAAAGTGATAAAACCTCTGTTCTTATATTAGTTATTTCTAAATAAAAATCTATAATTTTTTAATGACTTTTATTAAAATGTTATTTATTTCCATGATGGTGATTCCCTTTCTAAAGTTTTTAAATTTATAAAATGGTTAAAAGAAAGTTTTCCAGTTTCTTCCTTGATGGCATGAAGAAATAGAAAAAGAATAACATTTTTAAAAATTAAGTGTTTATATTTATTTGTTTACTTTTTAAATCTATATTGAAAAGAAAAATAAACTGCCTGAACCACACACATAAACTCATATAAAGATCTTAACACATATACATGCACAAAGTCTAATAATATTTTTTTTGTTATTATTAATGTCAGACAAATTAATTCATTTACAAGATGAATGTAGGGAACTGATTCAATTTTAGGTTTGTATTTATTTACCATTATCTGAAAGTTTGTTGACATGATCTTGAATAAAAAAAATCAGAAAAAAATCTTAAGTGATTTGAAACTCCACTTTGAGTGTGAATTCACAATTTCTTATTTTCAAACAAGCACATCCGTCATTAAGTGGAAGCTAATTGTTTGCATTAATTAATCATTTTATCATACGGAAGTGGATGCATTTGTTTTTTTATTTGGAAGAAAATTTTTTAAAAATTCTAAGTGAGCATCAATAATGAAAACAAATAAAACACTCCATCAATTACACGTTTTTATTTTTTTAATCATTTCACCCCAAGCAAGGCAATAAAGCCACTAACATGCAAGGGTTACTGAGAATGGGAGAAACACTATCAAAGAACTGAAATTAAGAAAACAGAAGACAATGATTGACATTGCATTTAAATTTCTTGGAAAGAAACAAGCCAAAAGAGAGTTCTACAGGTGAGAGAAGAAACTGTTAACAAAGAACCTACAGTTATATCTAAACTATTTCAACTGTAAAATGATCAGACCTTACCGTCAAACTAGTACTGTGCCTAAATTTATAAAGTCTCAGTAACAAAGAGGTAAGCACATCAGAACAATCATCATGAAGATATTTTTAGAAAAGTCACAGGGAAGCTACAATACAGTGGTGGGAAAGTAACTGACGCTGAGATGCTAGGTCAGGACTAATAACATTGCAGATTCTTCTTTGGATTTTATCAAGAATTTGTAAATATGTAGAAGAAGCACTAAATTGGATGTGACAGTAATATTCAATGCATGGTTGAATGACAGACTTATAAATATGTAAGATAGATTCTGGCAAGAAAAATTGTCTAGCAGAACACAGTAAACCAATTTTCCTAGCAACAGATCTATCAATTCAACATAATCTTCCCACTTCATGTCCGTGAAAAATGTTACCCTGAGAAGGTGCAATGAGTCACTCTCCCAAAGGTTATTGACAATAGCAGTGTCAAGAGAAAAAATGTCTTTTGACACATTTTTTGTGGTTACGTTGGTTAAACTTGCCAATTTTTTAAATGAATGAATTATTTTTTCTTACCAACAATTTTGAATTATTTTCTGTCACAAGTGCACTTTTGTACTTAAAAATGAATCAATGTAAAACTTTGGCTGGTGAAGGGAACAGATGTCATGCAATATGTATCTATATATATATATATATATATATATATTAGGTGCATTCAAAAATTTGCATGTACTTAATGGTGATGATGGCTGTTGACCGAATAATCAAATATCTTTTAAGATAAGACAACTACACCACTGACAATTTAGTGTTACACTAATTTTACACTAACTTCTTCATTTATCTATATTTTTGAGATGAGGTAACATTGTTTGGACTGTTGTCCTCATTTTTATTGCCATAAAAGCGTTGGTTGATTGACCCAAACAGTTTTGAGTTCAATAATTGGCCACAGCAGAGGGAACAAAAACTTGGAGAGGTGAGTTATCAAGGGGAATTAACTGAAACTGAGATATCCAATGGCATGGCATGTGGAATTAGAACAACCTACTTCCGTCAACTCCATAAAGGGTTTGGTTCAAAATTCTAACTAATATCACCTGAAGAAGGCTGGAGCGTACAACAACTGAAACATTGTGAATATGGCAATAAAGATGAGGACAACAGCCTGAACAATGTTAATAGTGCAAATTCTTCATGCACATCATAAATACATTTGATTAAAATTACATACAAATAAATTACTAAGTACAAGCTGAAATAATATGCTATAAAATTAAAAATAAGTATGAAATATAATATTAGAAAGTAAAATAAATAAAATTAGTGAAATATGTACAAGTGACGTATGTATTGTATGATCTACAATGACTCTTAAGTCCTGCAAGGGATTTACTTCTTTTTTTTTTCAAAGATAACACAAAAATTCATGTTTTGATTGCTTATTAGATCATTAAATTCATGTTCATATACAAGCAAATACATAAATTTATAGATCTGCAAATTCTTTCAAATTCTACTAATCAGATTCATTATAAATGAGACTAGAGTTATCTTCAATAAAAAAGAAAAACAAAAAAAATCTGTAAGATTAAATAAAAATTCCATTTTGACAGAATTATTCCCCTTGTCAAACCTCACCTGAACCAATAACACAACCTCATTAACTGCTAAACAGTTTCTTCTTTTGATATATATATATTTAATATGCATTTCAGTCTTTAAGTTATTCATGCTTAAAGCCTTTGAACACCATATTCTCATTTGGAGGTATTCTTTTAATATTCTGCTCATTCTAAATCAATTTAAAACAAATTCCTTTACAGAAAGCAAAATAGTCTTGCGGCTGTTCTAAGCAATAAAAGCATAAATATAGAAAGAAATATAACTGTTAATTCTTTACAGTCCCATGTAATTATTATTATCATCATTGCGTTTCAACTGTTTTAAACATGTCTTCAGTGCCACAAGCAAAACAATTAACACCTATCTATTTCAACTTGTCCACATATCTGTCTTGCAATCTTTTAAATGTAATTTCTATTGTTTGCTTTAGATTTACATTACTTACAGTAAAAAACTAATTTATTTTCTGTCTTCAAATAGTCAGGTACAAAATCTACTTTTAAAAAATAACCCTCTATACTTTGATGATTTCATAATAGTATCTGAGGTTGCTTTTTGCATCGGTTTATTTTATGAAATTAATAACAATCTTATCATATGCTTATGAACAAATACCAGAAATATTTTGAAATGAATCTTGTTTTCTAGCAATAGGAAATAGGTTACTTAACATTAGCTTATATATATATATATATATATATATTAGGGAAAATGTATAACAAAGTGGAAAAAGTTTTCTTGTGGCATGTTTCGTCCTTTAGGACTTCATTGGAGTAAATTTATGTTGGTGTAACTACACATGCATGTGAATGAGGGATTCTGGGAATTTTAAATTTTAAATTTTTTTTAATCTAGCTGATTTCATTTAGATTTTTTTTTCTTTTCCTTTTCATCACTTTTGTTTGTAGATATCCCACACTGAGATAACAGAAGTTCTGCTAGGAATGGTGAAAACTTGTAAGAGCCCAGGCACATATTTACCTTGTGTAGTTGCACCAAATAACAATAACACCATAACAAATTTAGTCTGATGAAGTCCTACTGATGTAAATGTTTCTAGTTGAAACAATTCACATTATAGTGCTGTACTACAGTTATAAATGTAATAAAACTACTTTTACTTCTTGATTTCACATTAAAAAGCAATAT